GAGGGGAGGGGAAGAAAGGGGGAAACGGGGAGGTGGGGAAAAACATCCCCGCTTTACCCCCTTCGTGGTGAAGGACACTGTTGTTAAGGGGGAGGGAAGGGAGCGCAGGGGAGGGGGAGGACCCAGGGTTGCGCTCCTTCGCACATAAATAATAATAATAATAATAATAATAATAATAATAATAATAATAATCTAAGGTATACAGACAATAGCTGACATCAATGACATACTACTATATAGAAAGCCGCTTGTTATGCTGAGCATTTCCCGCAAATTAGGTCAGTTTTGTCCCAGGATGCGACCCACACCAGTCCACTAACCACACCAGTCTACTAACACCCAGGTACCCATGTTACTGATGGGTGAACATGGACAAGAGGCGTAAGGAAACACGCCCAATGTTTCTACCTTCGCCGGGAATCGAACCGGGACAATCGCCGTGTTAAGGGAAAGCTTTAGCCACCAAGCCACGAGGCACCGTGGCTTGGTGGCCACGAGGCACCGTGGCTTGGTGGCCACGACAACAATAACAACAATAGCTATGCTTTATAAGCACTTGCGTATTACCGAGGTTATTCTTTATATAAGACGTGTGAAGCAGGTAACTCTAGGTCAACAACAGTTCTTTATACAAATACCTGGAGTCTACCTATAGTGGCTTCCAGAGACCAGCATCCCCGCGGTCCGGTCCCAGACCAGGCCTCCTGGTTGATGGTCTGATCAATCAAGCTGTTACTGCCCACGGACCGCAGTCCAAAGTATGCACTACACACCGTGAGGACTAAGACATGCAGATTGAACATTAAAATGGTATAAAATACCGACAGGTTGTTAGGTAAGACACATATGCAACAGTTAGGTATCTTTATTATGAAACGTTTCGCCTACACAGTAGGCTTCTTCAGTCAAGTACAGAAAAGTTGATAGAAGCAGAAGATACTTGAAGACGATGTAATCAGTCCATCACCCTTAAAGTTTTGAGGTGGTCAGTCCCTCAGTCTGGAGAAGAGCATTGTTCCAAAGTTTGAAACATGCAACAGTTAGGTATCTTTATTGAGAAACGTTTCGCCTGCACAGTAGACGTCTTCAAATACATAAGGAGCAGTAGTAATGACATAAGATGATATAATCCCTCCATCACTTCAGCCAGGCTGAGGGACTGACCACCTCAGAACTACGTCCTCAAGAGTGATGGACTGATTACATCATATTCACATGTCTACTGCTTCTGCTAACTCATCTGTGCCTGACTGAAGCAGACTACTGTGTAGGCGAAACATTACGGAATAAAGATACCTAACTGCTGTACATATATCTTATCAACTTGTCGGTATAGTCAATTTTCATATTCATGTTGAGGAATAAGAAACTTGCGCAATATTTTGGAATCTTTATTGAGGAAGCGTTTCGTCAGGCTGAGGGACCGATTACCTCAAACTACTCTTCTATTTCCACCGTTCTTCACTGTACTGGACTGATGAAGCCACTGTGTGGCGATGTTTCCTCAAAAATTCCAAAATGCTTCACATGTATCTCATTCAACACCTGATTATCTACATTCCTCATTGGACTAACGAAGCCACTGGCTGGCGAAACGTTTCCAGAATAAAGGTACCCAAATGTTGGAAGTGTATCTCATTACACACCCAGAAGTGTCTCAGTGTACAGATGCTGAGAGTTCGTTTCAATCTCTGTTTTAGATATTAACATATTCCTGACTGGTGTGAACAGGTTACTTGCAGCCTTAATGACCTTCGTGCAGTCGATAGCGAACTGGCTGTCAGCAGATAGGTGCGGTACGTGTGTGATCGTCGCGCAGGGAATAATAATCTATTTCTACCAGACTCACGAAATCGTAATAACACGATTGCAAACAAACCATACCCCGGCAGGGATTGAACCCGCGGTCAGAGAGTCTGTGGCTAACGCGACGGGCTGGAGTTTTGAGACTCTCTGACCGCGGGTTTAATCCCGGCCGGGGTATGGTCTATTTCTACAAGTACATGTACAAGGTATGTAGATGAATGGTTCAGAGAACCGACATGTTGATAAATTAGACACATGTGCAACTCTTGGGTATCTTTATTGAGGAAACGTTTCGCCACACAGTGGCTTCATCAGTCCATACAAAGGAGAATCTTGAAGAACAGGAGGAGAATGAGGTAATCAGTCCCTCAACCTTGAGTCGATGTGTTCAGTCCATCAATCTTGAGTAGAATACGGCATGTGAGCGGAGAAGCAGCTTATAAACCGTATAGCAGGAGAGGTGCAGCAGTCATAGGTGGTGTCACATTTGTTCTGATTGATTACCTCATTCTCCACCTGTTCTTCAAGATTCTCCTTTGTATGGACTGATGAAGCCACTGTGTGGCGAAACGTTTCCTCAATAAAGATACCCAAGAGTTGCACATGTGTCTAATTTATCAACATGTACAAGGTATATAGACAATAGCTGACATCGATGCCATACTGCTATACAGAAAGCCGCTTGTTATGCAGAGCATTTCGGACAAATTAGGTCACTTTGTGCCCAGGATGCGACCCACACCAGTCGATTAACACCACAGGTACCTGTTTTACTGACAGGTGAACAGCGACAGCAGGTGTCTTAATGTCCTAATGTTTCCAGGTGTACCATGATGATCATGTGCCTCAGAGAGGTGAAGTGTGACTACACACACAACCATCATTATGTCTGACAGTTATTGTATAATAAATTCAGTTCTTGGCTGGGATGGTCTTGCACTCCTACATTGTCTTCACACAGTTGTTGATAGTCTTGCACTCCTACATTGTCTTTGTCAGCATAGTTGCTGATCCCCTTATATGTGTTGTATAGCGTATTATAGTACCATCCATGTGCTTTATATAGAAGATCCCTATTAGGCCGAGTGACTGTATGACGTCACGGGATGCAGTGTGAGTGAGTGACGAGCTGCCTCTTCCTCACTCGACAGATAGACATAGAAGTAGGCAGAACACGGCAGGCCGGGGCTCCCACCTCTCATCACAGTCTGACAATATAGTGTTACCATCCAACAAGGTGTTTACCTTCAACCCTCGTATCTCCTTAAGAACCCCTACGACATCTTCACACAGTTGTTGACAGTCTTGCACTCTGCTTACACATTGTCTTCACACAGTTGTTGACAGTCTTGCACTCTGCCTACACATTGTCTTCACACAGTTGTTGACAGTCTTGCACTCTGCCTACACATTGTCTTCACACAGTTGTTGACAGTCTTGCACTCTGCCTACACATTGTCTTCACACAGTTGTTGACAGTCTTGCACTCTGCCTACACATTGTCTTCACACAGTTGTTGACAGTCTTGCACTCTGCCTACACATTGTCTTCACACAGTTGTTGACAGTCTTGCACTCTGCCTACACATTGTCTTCACACAGTTGTTGACAGTCTTGCACTCTGCCTACACATTGTCTTCACACAGTTGTTGACAGTCTTGCACTCTGCCTACACATTGTCTTCACACAGTTGTTGACAGTCTTGCACTCTGCCTACACATTGTCTTCACACAGTTGTTGACAGTCTTGCACTCTGCCTACACATTGTCTTCACACAGTTGTTGACAGTCTTGCACTCTGCCTACACATTGTCTTCACACAGTTGTTGACAGTCTTGCACTCTGCCTACACATTGTCTTCACACAGTTGTTGACAGTCTTGCACTCTGCCTACACATTGTCTTCACACAGTATAAAATATGTATCATGTGTTTAACAACTTGAACTACATTTAAGGAGAGTTTCACTCGGAATCAATAATTACAGACGTACGTCAAAGTCACATTGAAAGACGTAATTTGATGAATGAATCTCAGGAAGCTTTTATTACAAGGAGTTTTCGCCTGACGAATTTAATAACCTTAATCGCTTTGGTGATTATAAGAATGAGGTTATCATAAAGAATACAAGTTTTACCTGTAATTTACCTGTAACCCGTTTCGGGAGTCGATGTGTTCAGTCCAAGACTGGTGGACTAAACACATTAACTCCTGGCTGAGGGACTGATTACCTCAAACTCTCCATCTTCCACCTTTCTCTATACTGGACTGAAGAAGCCACTGACTGGAGAAACGTTTCCACACTAAAGCTACTCAAATATTGCAGAAGTGTCTCATTTATCAACAGTGTGTTTACATAAACGAAAAGAACTCAGACTAGAGGCTGGTTACAAGATGATTCACAAGATCAGTGTCGGGTATCTTCATATTCTACACAAATGACATGGGCCCGTACGCCTGCTGTCATGCTCTCTTATTTTATCTTCAGAATCAAGAGTGTGACACGGAGCCAGGAGTATCACACGTCATCAACAAAACAATCTTCAGATTCAAGAGTGTGACACGGAGCCAGGAGTATCACACATCATCAACAAAACAATCTTCAGATTCAAGAGTGTGACACGGAGCCAGGAGTATCACACGTCATCAACAAAACAATCTTCAGATTCAAGAGTGTGACACGGAGCCAGGAGTATCACACGTCATCAACAAAACAATCTTCAGATTCAAGAGTGTGACACGGAGCCAGGAGTATCACACGTCATCAACAAAACAATCTTCAGATTCAAGAGTGTGACACGGAGCCAGGAGTATCACACGTCATCAACAAAACAATCTTCAGATTCAAGAGTGTGACACGGAGCCAGGAGTATCACACGTCATCAACAAAACAATCTTCAGATTCAAGAGTGTGACACGGAGCCAGGAGTATCACACGTCATCAACAAAACAATCTTCAGATTCAAGAGTGTGACACGGAGCCAGGAGTATCACACGTCATCAACAAAACAATCTTCAGATTCAAGAGTGTGACACGGAGCCAGGAGTATCACACATCATCAACAAAACTTCAGTTGTCAGCGCCAGTAATTCCCAGGCAACAGTAGTCAGGAGCGGCATTGAAATCACCAAGATACAGAAAACAGAAAGTAACATCAAATTTGGTTGGTCAGCTACTGTGAGTGTAAGAAACTTACCTTGTGATAGTTGGTGTGATCATTGCCTCCGCCACCCGGAGTTTTGGGTACACCTGGTTACCAGGTATCTGAAACTAAGACAACACTGTATCAATGCTCTGCTCGCTGCACTCAGAAAACTGTCACTAGTTGCAAAACAACTACGGCGTGAGTTGAATGATAGCTTTAGGTCTTTCATGTTGCAATCAACACATCAGGAACCTGCAATATTGCAGAACAGAGGATGAATTTCAAGCAAACACGTTCAGAATGAGTTTTTGCCAGTAAACACTCTCACTCTGAACCTGTTTGCCTGGACTTCATCCTCTTTCTGTGACACTGCAAGCTCCTGATGTGTTGATTGCAACACGAAAGGCCTGGATCTATCATTCAATTTCCCTGTGGCTGTTTTGCATCTTCGCGATTTTTTTGCACGTGTATGTGTGTGTGTGTATGTGTGTGTGTGTGTGTGTGTGTGTGTGTACTCACCTAGTCGTGGTTGAAGGGATCGAGTCACAACTCCTGGCCCTGCCTCTTCGCTGGCAGCTACTAGGTTACTGTGTGTGTTTGTGTGTGTGTGTGTGTGTGAGCGTGAGTATATGTGTGTGTGTACGTGTACATGTGTACGTGAGTGTGTGTGTGAGTGTGTGTGTAGGGGTATGGAAAGTGGGGTCAGACACTGTGCTCCCCCCCTCTCTCCATACCCCCGTGTCTCTGCATAATCATTTATCCAGCAGTGTATCGCTTGTACTCTCTCCTTCCCGCCGCTAAGCTTCTTCACCTCCAGGCTTCAGCCTGCTTAAGACCACCTGTTCTTCTCCTTTCCTTGGTATCCGTCTTGTTCCCTGCTTGGTATCCGTCTTGTTCCCTGCTTGTTATCCGTCTTGTTCCCTTCTTGGTATCAGTCTTGTTCCCTGCTTGGCAACCTCTTGTTGCCTGCGTGGTACCTCTCTTATCCCCTGTTTGGCAAACAGTTTGTTGCACTTTTCATTCTCCACATGTTGTTGTGCATCACTGACTCCATCACTTTATGCCACCAGCAGTTACCAGTCTCGACCAGAAGCTATGAATTGTTCCATAAACAACCAGGAGCCTACAACTATGTGAAGGTAATTAGGTGCAAACAACTAGGCGAGTACAACTAAGCTGCTAGTACAACAAACCTAGGACAACTAGGCGAGTACAACTAAGCTGCTAGTACAACAAACCTAGGACAACTAGGCGAGTACAACTAAGCTGCTAGTACAACAAACCTAGGACAACTAGGCGAGTACAACTAAGTAAGTAGTTCTGAGATTTGAGTACTATGAAAGGATTGATCACTTATTGTTCTTGGAACATAAGAAAGGAGGAACACTGCATCAGGCCTACTGGCCCATGCGAGGCAGGTCCAAGTCTCCTACCAGCTTAAGCCAATGCCCCAACCTAGTCAGGTCAGGTCACATTCACTTAAGAAGGAGCACTTCATCCGACCCAGTAGCACAAGCTAGTCAGGTCCAACTCTCACCCAACCGTACCCACCCATTTATTTATCTAACCTATTTTTAAAACTACACAACGTTTTAGCTTCTATGACGGTACTTGGGAGTTTGTTCCACTCATCCACAACTCTATTACCAAACCAGTGCTTTCCTATATCCTTCCTGAATTTAAATTTTTCCTGCTTAAAACCATTACTGCGAGTCCTATCTTGGTTAGATATTTTTAGCACGCTATTTACATCCCTTTACTTATTCCTGTTTTCCATTTATACACCTCAGTCCTATCCCCCCTAAAACTAAACCTTTCTAGAGTGCAGATTCAGGGCCCTCAATCTATCCTCATAGGGAAGATTTCTGATGGTTTAGAAAGACACGTAAGCAAACACGTGTAGCTTACGTGTCTTTCTAAACCAACTTGTGATGAATGGTTTTGAAAACCGACAAGTTGAAGAATTGAGACACTTATGCAACACATGGGAATCTTTATTGAAGAAACGTTTCGCCACACAGTGGCTTCATCAGTCCAATACAAAGTAGAAATGGGTAAGTGGAGTAGAAGTTCGAGGTAATCACTTCTGTCAGACACTGCAACATCATGGGATCTTGGTACAAAGACTTCAACGCTTGCCCAACCTTTGGACGACGACCTACTTACACTAGTGGCAGGTCCCACTGTGATCTCACCTCCTCCTGCTTCAACTCATCTCACCGCAGTATATAAGCCACCTCTCTGGCCCTATGCTGCACTTCCTACAAGAGTGATGGACTGAACACATCGATTCCAGGTTGAGGGACTGATTACCTCGAACTTCTACTCCACTTACCCATTTCTACTTTGTATTGGACTGATGAAGCCACTGTGTGGCGAAACGTTTCTTCAATAAAGATTCCCATGTGTTGCATAAGTGTCTCAATTCCTAAACCAACTTGTCGGTATTTATTACCAAGGTTTATACCAAGATTTCTGATACATGGGATCAACTTTGTCATCCTCCTTTGTACGTTTTCCAGAGCATTTATATCCATTCTGTGCAAGATGAAAGTTAAGACACATGTGCAACATCTGGTTATCTTTATTGTAGACGTTTCGCCATCCAGTGGCCATCCTAGAATCTATACCGATAAAGCCACTGGATGGCGAAACGTCTACAATAAAGATAACCAGATGTTGCACATGTGTCTTAACTTATATCCATTCGGTAGTACGATGACCAAAACTGTGCAGCATAATCTAGATGAGGCCTAATCAAAGATATACAGAGTTGAACAATCTGAGAACATCTATTATTTATGCTTCTTGATATGAAGCCAAGTAAAGCGAATAATTACGTGTGTGTGTGTGTGTGTGTGTGTGTGTGTGTGTGTGTGTGTGTGTGTGTGTGTGTTAGCTTTATTGCGAACACTTATGCACTGTTGTCTTGATTTCAGATTACTGCTAACCAGAACTCCTAAAACTTTTTCGCAATCCATAATATTAAGATCTACATTATTTAGTTTATATGTGGCATGGTTATTGTCCTGTCCAACATTTTGAACTTTGCATTTGTCTATATTAAACTGCATCTGCCACTTCTCCGACCACTGCATCAGTCTACTCAAATCTTCCTGGAGTGCTCTAATGTCCTCGTCAGAATGAATTCGTCGGCCTATTTGGTGTCATCGGCAAACTTGCTTATATCGCTATTTATTCCCTCGTTGGTGACCTGTACTTAACTCAGTGGTAACCTGTACTTAACTCAGTGGTGACCTGTACTTAACTCAGTGGTGACCTGTACTTAACTCAGTGGTGACCTGTACTTAACTCTGTGAAGAAGTGTCTTGTGTGCTCCCGTGGACTGAACCAAGATGCCCTCCATCGAGCAACTTTACCAGCAACTTAAGGAAGAATTGAGGGCAGCGAAGATGGAGATACAGCGATTGACCGAGGAAAACAAGAGGATTCGTAGTAGTCCTCCTGTTTCGAGTCCTCAGGTAAAGAAGGGATCGTGGTCAGTGGCTGGACAGCAGGGGACGACGAAGTTGACGATCAAGAAGACGAATGGAAAGCAGAAACGATGAAGAAGAAAGAGACTGCTGTGGAAACTCCTGTGGAAACCTCCAACGCATTCTCGGTGCTACCCGACGAAAGTGAGTCGAAAAACGGGATCGTCACGACGAACAACCCAAAAAGGAAGGTAAGAATATTTTTTGTTGTTGGGGATAGCCAGGTTTGATACATGGATAGGGCATTCTGCTTGAAGGACAGGAGTAGGAGACAGAGGGTATGCTTCCTGGGGCTGGGGTGGAGGACATTGTTAGCCGGCTTGGACAACATCATGAATGGTAATGGATCAATCCCATTTTTTGCCTCAGTGCTGGAGGCAATGATGTAGGCAAGCGTAGAAGTGAGGATTTAGTTAGAAAGTTCAGGACAGCTATAGACATAGAACATAAGAACATAAGAACGAAGGAACACTGCAGAAGGCTACTGGCCCATGCGAGGCAGGTCCAAGTCTCCTACCGGCTTAAGCCAATGCACCCAACCTAGTCAGGTCAGGTCACATTGACTTAAGGGAGGAACACGGCAACCGACCTGGTAGCACAAGCTACCAGGTCTAACTCACACCCACCCACATCCACTCATGTTATTTATCCAACCTATTTTTAAAGCTACAAAAACGTTCTGGCCTCTATAACGGTTACTTGGGAGTTTGTTCCACTCATCCACAACTCTATTAAACCCAAACCCGTACTTTCCTATATCCTTCCTGAATCTGAATTTTTTTCCAACTTAAAACCATTGCTGCGAGTCCTGTCCCAGGCTAGATATTTTAAGCACACTATTTACATCCCTTTATTTATTTCCCGTCTTCCATTTATACACCTCAATCATATCCCCCCCAATTCTACGCCCCTTTTTAGAGAGTGCAGATTCAGGCCCTTAGGGCTATCCTCATAGGGAAGGTTTTTTGATACATGGGAAACAACTTTGTCATCCCCCTTTGTACATTTTCCAGAGAATTTATATCCATTCTGTAATAAGGTGACCAAAACTGTGGGAGCATAATCTAAATAGGCCCAACCAAGGATGTATAGAGTTGAAGAACAACCTGAGGACTCCATTATTTTTTGCTTCTTGATATGAAGCCAAGGATTCTATTAGCTTTATTGCGAACACTTATGCACGTTGTCTTGGTTTCAGATTACTGCTAACCAGAACTCCTAATCTTTCTCGCAATCCGTAATAAATTTAAAATCTACATTATTTAGTTTATATGTGGCAGGTTATTGTCCTGTCCAACATTTAGAACTTTTTCATTTGTCTATATTAACGCATCTGCCACTTCTCCGACCACTGCATCAGTCTTTCAAATCTTCCTGGAGTGCTCGAATGGGCCTCGTCAGAATGAATTCGACGGCCCAATTTTTGGGGTCATCGGCAAACTTGCCGATGTCGCTCTTTATGCCCTCATCTATGTCGTTTATGTAGATTGTGAACAGCAGGGGGCCCAACACTGACCCCTGTGGAACACCGCTCGTGACACTTCCCCACTCTGATTTCTCCCCATTTTTGCAAACTCTCTGCTGCCTATTTGTCAACCAAGCCTCTATCCAGAAAAAATTTCTTTCCCCCTAATTTCCCTGTGTTTAATTTTCC